GTGATAAATGGTGTCAAAAGCAACAACAAACCACAATAAGAAGACAGCAGCAGCGACCCCCCGGTAATATGAGGAGCAGCAAGTAAAAGAAAAAACAACAACAAAGAAAACACAAACAGACAAATACAAACACAATCGCGTGCAACTCATTTTCGCCTTGTGTGGCTGTGTATGTGTGTATGTATGCGTATGTGTGCGTTGTTGTTGTTTTTTTCATTCCGCACCCACAATTTTCCAAACCTACCATCCTCAAGAATGAAATGGAGATCCTTGACCGTCCCGCCCATGGCAGTTTGTCTGTGGTCCCTCCTCCTTTGATACGCCCTGAGCACGCGAGAAACGCCGCGAAGGCGCACGCCTCGGCGGGTCTCTCGACTTGCGCTTCGCCCGCAAACGCCGGATGTACGCTCGCATGTGCGCGTACTTTTCGCGACCGAGGTGGAAGAGGTAGTCGTACGGGTAGATGCCGCCGGAGTGGCCGTCCGAAAAGACGATGCGGAGGGCGTAATTGCCGACGGGAATGACGTCGGTGATGGTGATCCCGCGGCGCCCATAGATGAGGACGTCGGCGCCAACGACGTCGGTGCTCGGGGAAAACGCCCGAAGAAACTCGGCAAGAAAGCGTGTCCGGTGCTGCTCCAGCGGACTCCCCTCAAAACACCTGCGGCCTGCAGTTCCCGGAGCCAATTCCGCGCCGTGCTGCCCATCGGCCTCAGAACCAATCCCACCACTGTCAGCGGCGCCCTTCAGTGGCAATGCCTCCCTTTCTTTTAGTGCTTCCACGGCACGCAGCGCGGTCGCTGGCCAGACGAGGTCAATGTACAACTTGTCCTTGGACACAATAATCTGCGAGGGCAGGAGATGGGCCCGCAGGCTTCGCTGCAATGTTAGCCGTTCCGCCAGGTTCTCCTGCATGGAAGCCCGTCGTGGATACGGACGACGCGGTTCCGTGATGCATCGCTCGCCGAGTGGCATGAGATGCGTGTCCACCAACGATGCCGCTTGTGACGCCACAGCGGAGCTAAGGCGGCTAATAATAGAAGTGAGGCGCCGCTGTTGCAGAAACAACGGCCACATCGTTACCCGTTGCGAACAACTCGTAGCAACGGTCCGCCCACAATGCATGACGGGAGAAGCCAATCTCACTTGGGCTCCGTGCAGAACTCAACTTGCCTTGTTTTTTTCTTCGTGCAGTCGTTGCGTCGCTGAGGTGCCCTTCCTCGCAGCGCGGTTACGGCAGATGCTGCTGCAAGTGTGCGACCACACACATCATTCTTAAGAAGAAGACAGGACCGCAGAGAGTCAGGCGTTGCACACACGCAGATAATACAGGGAAGACGTGTGCACGCCTAAGGAGCACCAAATCCCCCACCCAGAGAAACAGAGAGGGGCATTCACGTCCATTGTTACTTCCACCCCACGTCAGCGTGTCTCGTCCTCCCCATATATATATATATTACGGGTGGAGCTGCCTTCCCCTCCCTCCCCCACTTCACTTCTTCGCCCCTCCCGCGCAAGCGTTCGCAACAGCACCACAAGTTTGGGCGCCTCACGGCCTCCAGGTGCGCTCCTTCAACCCAAGCACCCGCTTCGGATACCGCACCGCATCCTCCTCCGAAGTGCCCCACAGTTGTCTCCGCCGCAAGACGTGGTCGTACCAGCGATCGCCCAGCCGCTGCGGGAGCGTGTAGTACAGGCAACAAAAAAGCGTACGCGGCAGCCACCGGTCCAGCTTCATCCCAATACGGCACACCGCCTCGTACTTGACAGAGACAAGGATGTCCACGTCCTCCTCCCCCGCGTCAAGGCCGTCGGCTACCCCGCTTGCAGCGGAGGGGGTCGAGGAGGCAAGGGGAGCGAGAGGGCTGTGCGCCGCAAACACACCGCCGCCGCCGCCAGTATGGTGTCCACGGCTCCTCGCATCTCCACTTGGCCCCTGCGGACGCCGCCTCTCTTGTCGTTGCCGCACACGACTTAAGAAGGAGGCCGTCTGCGAGGGCACCTTCTCAATCAGCGCGACGGCGTCCGCGTCACTCAAAAGATGGGGGAAATTGCGGCGTAGCTCACGCCAGTTCACGGAGTCAAAGCTGCAAAACAACATTTTGTTCCTCGCAAGCCTCACCGGATCCACGCCCTGCGTGAGGCGCAGAAAGCTAAAGTACGAGAAGTTGCGCTCCAGCACGTACTGGACCCGGGCCTGGCACATGAGACAGTGCCCGTCAAACACCACGAGGTTCCGTGGGAGTTTGCGCAGAATGTTTTGATACGACCGCCCGCGGTACCGCCGCGACATGGCCGCGCCGACAACGCACGGTGGAAGTGAGGCACAACGCCGCCTCCCAGACGCAACACCGCGCTCCCCTGCGAGAAGAAACAAAAAGGCAAAACAAAAACAAAAAGAAAGAAAGGAAAAAAAATGAGTAACAAAGCGACGGAAGGAGAAACTCTCAGAGTGAGCAACACGTGGGATGGCAACAGTGGCGGCAGCCGCAGGAGGACACGCGTCAACCACTTCGGGAGGAATCAGACCCGTAGAAAAAAACAACAACAACACAAGGCGTTTAAATGTGTGACGTCATATTTACTACAAAACCTTGCTCGCACCCCACTTCCACCTTGCTGCCAAAGGGACTCAGGTCCTCTTGGCCCCCGCACCGTCATCCGCAAAGGCCGCCCACCCACGACGAATCCGTTTCCTCGGCCTACGCCCCGCTCTCCTTCCCCCTTTCCGCCACAAAATAAAATGTAAAGGAAAAAGGGGGAAAAAAAGGAACGAGGAAAAGAAGAAACAAATAATGCAGAACATTTCTCTGGCTGCAGCCTGGCTCCCGTATACATCTAAAAAAAAAGAAGAGGAAAGCCCCGCAGTGAGGAAGTACCGTTTTGCAACTTGCGCTCAACGGTTCCCCCGCCACTTCTGGGGAGAATTATCCTCTCAAACAAACCCACACATAACGAAGGAAAGGAATGCGTCGATCGTTGATGGCCGGGCCAGTTGCCAACGAAGGCAGTGGCTGCCTTTGGGCTCCTGCAGCCGTACCGTGGGTTTGGACGCTGAAGACACAAAAAACAAAACCACAATTCCCTCGCCTACCAATGCGGCCTCGTTGGAGATCAGCAACAACAAGTAATACACAGAGAAAACAGAGTGGGTTAACAAGATGTGCTATCATTCAATGAGCCCCAATTCTGTCAGAAAATCATTTCAGAATTCGCTAAAGAAACAAAGAAAAGAAAAGAAAAAACGTACACACAAAAAAGTCTTGACTCGTTCATATTAATTTCTTCTTCCTCCCCCTGGTCTCCCCAGTGGGCCCGAAGGCCCTTCGCGCGCGCCCCCTAGCCGAACAGGAAGAATGAATACACCACCCCGCCCTAAAGCATAGGCAAAGAAAAGGGGAGGAAAACAAGAAACAAATACACACAACCAACCTAAACAACAAAAACAAACAAACAAA